TCATTATCCTTTAATTCTGTCATTCGCCTGTTTAATCAAAGTGTAAAAAAAATAAGTACGGAGTTCCTCTCTAGTCCTTGACAGCTGGACAGTTGTAACGGACTGGATCCCACCGTAACAGCCCACGGAGTTCCTCTCTATTCCGACAGTTTAATCATACGCCACGTCCGATCTGTTACGGAGGAGGAGTTGTTGCCGTTTTTGTCTGGTTGCGGGCGGGGTGACGAAGGCTTTGTTTTGGGAAAATGGAAAGTGGAATGCAAACAAAAACAAAAGCGCTTTCTCGTTTTCCTCTCTCCCTTTACGAAAACAAAAGAATCGACCTAACTGCAGCGTTTCGGAGGAACGTACGGGTGCCAGAGAGAGAATACGGGGCTGCCACGTCAATACCAATGCCAGCTATAGCGCACTGAAAAAATGAAAATGAGAGGGGTAAATAATTACAAGCCGAGTCCCGAGACAGCCGCGAACCGGCCGGAGAATCCTACCCTAGGGATTCCGAATGGAAGGACGGACGGTTCCGGTTTTGGGTGGGCCCCCGACCCGTCCGCGGCCAGAATTTTCCGCTGCATGCTACAACGGTACGGTGTGAATGGGCTGGTGTTGTTTTTGACTTTTTTATTACAAAGTTAATAATTAATTAATTAATTCCATTGTACGTAGTTACGTACACAGCTTCTTCTTGTAATTATAGTGTCAAAACGTAGCCCGATCCTATTAACCCGCCCGATCAACCCGACCCGCAATCCGATCGCCACCCGAATTGACTAAAAGTCAACAATCCATAATCCGCCCGACCCGCAACCCGATTGACCCGCAACCCAACTAACCCGCAACCCGATTAACCCAAACCCGACTGACCCGCAACCCAATTAACCCGAACCCGATTAACCCGAACCCGATTGACCCGTAACCCGACCGACTAAACCCGAATTTCATCTATTCCACTTGAATAATTATAAAAATATACAATACATAGTTTTTCAAAATAAAGTTTTTCATTCTAAACTTAAGTAAAATTACTTTTTAATTTCGTATAAGAAATTTTAAAAATATGAAACTCAATTGATATTACGTATTTTAAGAAAATTACAAAAAATGAAACATGAAGGTCACTTGAGATCATGACAATATTAATATAATATATAAATTAAAATTTTGGTTAATTTAACTATTCAATAAAATTATCAATTAAATATAAATAAAATAAAGTAATGTATTTGGTAATTTGATGTTTTTAAAAGAAAAAGGAAAATTTTGGTGTATTCAAGTTTTTGGGAAGAGAAAGAAGAGGAAAATTTGGTTATTTGAATTTTTTAGAAAAGAAACAAGTGGGAATTTTGGTGGTTTTGATATGTGGGAAGAGAAAGAAGTGGGGAAGTTTGATTCTTTTGATTATGAAAGAGAAATAAGGAGGGAAACTTTTAACTTTTCAACTTTTTGTAGAATGAAAGAAGAGGGTAATTTGGTTTTTTCAATTTTATGGAAGAGAAAGAGGAGGGAAAATTGAGTTTTTCTAATGTATGGAAGGAGAAAAGAGGGAAATTTTAGTATTTTTGTGAAAAGAAAGAAGGAAACAAATTTGGTTTTTTCAATTTTTTGGTTTTTCATAATTTTATCTTTTGAAATATGAATCTTTAACTTTTATATGGAGGGCATGACTAGTTAAAATTATTCTTATATTATATGCTTTGAAGGCTAATATGTATATATGTATGTAATTTTTTATGGGCTAATAAATAAATTAACCATTAGTTACAACAATTTATACTAAACTTGATAAGTAATCTTTGACGGTTCGTTGTTTAGGATATAAAGTATATGGTTAGGGTATAAGGTATAAGGTACTAGGGGTGGGCAAACGGTTCGGTAAACCCGAACCGAACCGAACGAAACCGAATTAATGTTATTCGGCTCGGAATTCGGAAGGGAAATATGGATAGTTCGGAAATCAGGGCTCTTTCAACCGAACCGAATTTCCGAATTTCCTACCGAAAAAATGAAATACTATAATTGCAAGCTCCAAATGATGGATTTTTATGTTTGTAGTTGTTTTTAGACTTAAATATTTGAAATGTTTTAAGACTTATGTGTTGAAAAGTTTGGTTTTATCATTGATGATGCATATAAATGATATTTATTGTTTATATTAAGGGTGAAAAATAATATAAAAGTGAGAAAATACAAGTAGCTTCACAAATTCAGTTTTGTGTGAAAAACCGAAGCGAATTATGATTCGGTTTGAGATTTGGGAGAATTCAGAGACCCGGTATTCATAATTTCGGTTCGGTCTAAACCGAACCGACCGAATGCCCACCCCTATAAGGTACATATGGTTTAGGGTGTATATGGTTATGGTATAAGATATTGATAGTTTTGACAGTTCTAAGTTTTTTATTAACATATGTTCACTTGAAGTCATTTGAAGTCTTTAACGGCAGGAGATCCCTTTTTAATTTATGTTTATGGTACGTGGTTAGGGTACAAGGTATATGGTGTAAAGTATAGGATATATGGTTAGGGTATAACAATTAGCAAATATCACTTTTTATCTATGTTTTGAAAATCAAAGTATGAATTTCACTTTTAAATTAACCATACTAGCAAAATCACAACTCAATGACATATGGTTAGGGTATAGGTTATGTGGTTAGTGTATAATGTATTGATGGTTTAGGGTATGCAATCAACAACATATACTAACTTAATATTGTTGATTGAGGGTAAAGCTAAATGTATAGGATATATGCTATTGAGTAAGTTATGATTGAAGTCGCAATAATTTTACTAAATTTGATAGCTATTCTTTAATGGTTCAATTTTTAGGATAATTCGAACAATTTTACAAATAACTCTTTTGGCAACAGTTTACTAAAGTTATTTGGGCAATGAGTTATTTTGAAATAACTCCTTTTATCACTATGCTTTTGCCAAATACCACACGCCAAATACCAGATTTGCATGGTTATACTAAACGAGATACTTTAATCCAATTACTACTGAATTAATATTAAAATATCAAATAAACAATTAACGGTGTCTTTTGGTTGAAAATATTGATATCACCATTACTATTAGCTATAATACTTTACCAATTATGATTAATTACATAACAAGTTTGCAAGTCATACAAATTGATTTAACATTTTGACTAGTTTTTTTCAAAAAAATAAAGTATATATATACGAGGTAGAAATAAATTGGTTAAAGAGTTGAGAAAATATTTTAAATTAGTGTAATAAAATGTGTAAGTTGGTAATGAGTTAAGTTACTTGATGCGCTGGCCCGAACAACCCGAAACCCGACCCGCCCGCAACCTGCCCGATGAACCCGCAACCCGATTTGCCCGCAACCCGATTAAACCGAACCCGATGAACCCACAACCCGACTAACCCGCAACCCGTTTGAACCCGAACCCGATGAACCCGCAACCCGACTAACCCGCAACCCGACTAACCCGAACCCGATGAACCCGAACCCGATGAACCCGCAACCTGACTAACCCGCAAGTGAATGTAAATACGCCTCCCCGTCTTCCACCTCTAGAGCGGGCACATGTCCCAAGGGATGGATCGCCATATACACCGAGCAGCTGAAGCTTGGTTTGTGCTTCCCCCTCGACTCTCTTATTACTCAGGCCTTGTTGTGTCTGAACTGTACTCTTGGGTGTTTATCTCCCACCATCATCTTTCACGCTTGTGCCTACAGACTTGCATGCCAACGCCTCGGAATCGAACCTTCCTTTGCCTCCTTCCGATTTACGTATAGGCTTCGGCGGGTGTCAAACGTGTGGTCTTTCGGGAGGCGTGACAAGGCCTATGGCTTTGTAACCGAGACTCCAAAGCAATATTCTCCCTGGTTTAAGGATTTCTTCTATGCCAAGCCTACTACCAAATGGTACTCAGGCGATAAAGAACCGAGGACAGCTTCCCAAAAAGACCATGTGTCAAAAATTGCCGAGCTATCTCTGTTTAATGTGAAGTCTGGGGGGGGGGGGGGGGGCAGATTTTGTGACAGATATCCTAACTAAACTCTTCGGAGATGGTCAGTAGTGTTGCTGTCTTGCTTTACTCTTTGAAGCTAAATACTTGCCTTCTATCATGTGACCCATTCTCTTTTTTGCAGCCATGAACTTTGGGAGCGTGGCGATATGGCGAGGCTACTGAGGCGAGCGAAGCTGAACATCCCAAAGACGGGGGGCGCTTCCCAAGTTGCAGCGAAGCCCGGTTCATCTGCCGATCCTTCCGCTCAGATGAAGTCCTTGATTCCCTCAAGCAAGTCTCTTATGCCCGCGGGGCTGACCACGCTTGCGAGTGGGGCTCATAGATTGATGACCGTGCAAACGGGGGGCGAGCTAGTTAGCAAAAGTCGCGACACTGGGAAGCATGTTGCTGAGGCCCCCACTCCTCGCTTCGCGAAGATTGTGCTCGGCGTATACTTCACGAGCTATTTGGGAAGCTGCTAGTGCCGCCGGAGTACACCGATGTTGAAGATCCGTCAACAAGGCACTGGGTTGGCACCGCCGCTCGTTTCCTTCTGGCTGTAAGTAATTTTGTTTACATATCGATATGTGTGTAGCGTTTGGCGCATTAGCTGACAGCTTGTTGGTTGCGTAGGCTGGAGTTGGTCTATCCCAGATTGGGATGACCAATGAGAAGCTCCATGTGGCCCATTTGCGAAGCGGAGTTGAGGCGGAGAAGTTGCATAAGCGGATAGGCGAGCTGGAAGTTGAGTCAATCAAAGGGCGTGCAACCTTTTGGGAGGAGGCAAAGGCTGAACTGGAGAAAGAACATGATGAAGCCATTAAAGACCTGCGAGCTGAGCTGTCCCGTGGAATCCAGTAGCTGAACAGCTTAATGGCTGACAAAGAGATTCTAGAGGCTGACGTGTCCCGGTTACGTTGGCATGTGGAGGAGCTGGAGAAAGAGAAAGAGGAGTGCGCATTGAGGCACAAAACTGAAGTTGATGCTGCAGCTAAGTTTGCAGTTGCCACCTACTTCCTATCTCCCGCCTTCCTTCAGATCGTTGATGCCAAGCTTTCCAAAGTGATGGCTGACACGGTGGCTTCGATTCGTCACATGTTCAGTCGTGAGCGACCTGAGCTTGAGTGAGACACGGATGTCGTATGGGATGCGGTTGTTGCCTGGGGTTCTTCTGAGAGCGATGTCAACTCTGAGAACGCTCTTGTTGTTGTTGCTGGTGGCGATGAGGCCATTTCTCAAGGTGGAGGTGAAGTTTGAGATGTTATGTTCTTCTTTCATGTTTTGAAGTCGATTGTGTCCTCGACTATGAACTAGTGCTTGTAACTTGTTATGTTTTTTCCCCTTTTTTCTGGTGGTGTTGACAATGTTCGCTTTCCAGTAGATTTTATAAGTATTTCTCTGTTGTTTCCCGTATATTATGCGCATGCCATTTAAATTTCTCACGACTGCTTATACAGTCACTCCTGATGCGCTTAAATCGGACTTGCTCTACCGTGAGGCGATGCATTGTGAGAGAGATCCTGGGCGTGAATTTTTGTGAACAACCATGTCCCAGTATGCGTTAGTGTTTCGGAGGCCCCCTGCCTCGGGGTGACGTGTAATCTTCAAGATCTTGCCCTTTATCGTTACGCGGGTGGGTTATTCTATCTCCGGGGTGACATGTTATGAATAACCCATGTCCCGGAATGCGTTTTCATTTCGGACCTGCTCTTCCTTGGAGGTGGCGTGTTATGAACGAGAACCTGCCCCTTAGGACATTCCGCGGGCGGGTTATTCTACCTTCGGAGTGGCGTGTTCTGAATAACCCATGTCCCGGGATGCGTTTGTATTTTGGATTCGCTCTGCCTCGGGGTGGCATGTTATGAGCGAGATTCTGCCCCTTAGGGCATTCCGCGGGCGGGTTATTCTGCCTTAGGGGGTGGCGTGTTATGAATAACCCATGTCCCGGGATGCGTTTGTATTTGCTCGGCCTTGGGGTGGCGTGATATGAGAGAGATCCTGCCCCTTAGGGCATTCCGGGGGCGGGTTATTCTTAGGAATGGCAATGGGGCAGGTCCAGGCCGGGTATCTCGATAACCATACCCAGCTCCATGGCAGATCGGGTCCAGGTCGAGTAATTTATCATGCGGTGCGGGTCGGGGTAGGTCGACCCAATGGGTATATAATTTAGGTGAAAAACTTTCATTATATTCAATATCTTTATTAAAAGACCAAGAAATAAACCATAATATGATAAAATGTAGTTAAAGTATTGGATAAATTGAGATTTTCACTTATTTACAACTTTATTATAGCTAAAATATGAGGTAATATGAAGAAAATTCTAAGTAATTTGATTAAGATTACATGTAATTTAGGCAAGAACGGGTCGACGATGGTGCGGGTCAGGGCAGGTCGGGTCGATGAGAGGTACCTATCTCCGCCCCAAAACAGGCCAATCAGGCCGGGTAAAATGGGTCAGGTCGAAATTGACATCTCTAGTTATTTTTCCTTCGGGGGTGGCGTGTTATGAATAACCCATGTCCAGGGATACGTTTGTATTTTGGATTCGCTCTGCCTCGGGGTGGCGTGTTATGAGAGAGATCCAGCCCCTTAGGGCATTCCGCGGGCGGGTTATTCTGCCTTCGGGGGTGGCGTGGTATGAATAAACCATGTCCCGGGATGCGATTGTATTTTGGATTCACTCTGCCTCGGGGTGGCGTGTTAGGAGCGAGATCCTGTCCCTTAGGGCATTCCGCGGGCGGGTTATTCTGCCTTCAGGGTGGCGTGTTATGAATAACCCATGTCCTGGGATGCGTTTGTATTTTGGATTCGCTCTGCCTCGGGGTGGCATGTTAGGAGCGAGATCCTGCCCCTTAGGGCATTCCGCGGGCGGGTTATTCTGCCTTCGGGGTGGCGTGTTATGAATAACCCATGTCCCGGGATACGTTTGTATTTGGATTCGCTCTGCCTCGGGGTGGCATGTTATGAGTGTGATCCTGCCCCTTAGGGCATTCCGCGGGCGTGTTATTCTGCCTTTGGGGGTGGCGTGTTATGAATAACCCATGTACCGGGATGCGTTTGTATTTTGAATTCGCTCTGCCTTGGGGGTGGCGTGTTATGAGCGAGATACTGCTCCTTAGGGCATTCCGCGGGCGGGTTATTCTGCCTTCGAGGGTAGCATGTTATGAATAACCCATCTCCCATGATGCGTTTGTATTTTGGATTCGCTCTGCCTCAGGGTGGCGTGTTATGAGCGAAACCATGCCCCTTAGGGCATTCCACGGTCGGGTTATTCTGCCTTTGGGGATGGCGTGTTATAAATAACGCATGTCCTGGGATGCGTTTGTATTTTGGATTCGCTCTGCTTCGCGGTGGCGTGTTATGAGCGAGATCCTGCCCCTTAGGGCATTCCGCGGGCGGGGTATTCTGCCTTCGGGGTTGGCGTGTTAAGAATAACCCATGTCCTGGGATGTGTTTGTATTTTTGATTCGCTCTGCAACGGGGTGGCGTGTTATGAGCGAGATCCTACCCCTAAGGGTATTCTGCGGGCGGGTTATTCTGCATTCGGGGTGGCGTATTATGAATAACTCATGTCCCGGGATGCGTTTGTATTTTGGATTCGCTCTGCCTCTGGGTGGCATGTTATGAGCGAGATCCTGCCCCTAAAGGCATTCCGCGGGCGGGTTATTCTACCTTCGGGGGTGGCGTGTTATGAATAACTCATGTCCCAGGATGCGTGCACCATGGCCTTGTGAAATTCAGTACACAACGAACAATCTTGTATTGATAGTTTGGAAATATGATTACACTTCTTACTCGGCTGAATAGTACTTGCGTTAATGCAGTGAATTCCATGTCTTGCTTACCGCCTCCCCGCCCATAGTGGAGATCTTGTAGGTGTTTGCCCCTATCTTGTCATTTATGAGGTAGGGTCCTTCCCAATTCGCCGCTTCCTTGCCGTGCCTCTCCTTTTCTTTCTTGTCGAACATCCTCTTAAGAACCATATCACTTTCCTCTAGTGGTCGAGGCCGGACCTTGTTGTTATAATGGTGTTTCGCCCGTCGTTGTTTTGTACGTGGTGCAATGAGCCCAAAGGATATGGGGAATTTCAGTTGTCCACGCACCCTTTACTTCGCCTAGCCTTCTTTTCAATCCTCGGAGAATGAACTTGTTGGACGATTCTACCTGGCCATTTGCTTGTGGGAACGCGACAGACGCCATGCTGTACTTTATGTTATGTTCTTCACAGAACTTTTCGGACTGGCGATAGTCAAACTGTGTCCCGCGATCGGTGATGATCGTCTCTGGAATTCCGAAGCGTATCAGAATGTTGTTTAAGAGAAACTTTTGCACTCGGGCGCTTGTAATTGCTTCGAGCGGCTCAACTTCTATCCACTTAGTAAAGTAATCGGCGGCGACCACTAGGTACTTTTTTTCAAGCGGTGAATTGGGAAAGGGTCCTTGGAGGTCCAGGCCCCACCTTGAGAATGGCCATGAGCTTACGATTCCCTTCATTTCGGAAGCTGGATGGTGATGCTTGTCTGCATGGGCTTGGCATGCGTGACATTCGTGGACGATCTTTAACGCATCCTTCTTCACGGTGGGCCAGTAGTACCATTGCAGGAGGATAGTTCTTTCCAGGCTTCTTGGGCCGATGTGAGTGGCTCATGTCTCCATGTGTATCATTTTCAACGCTTGTTCAGCCTCCTCGCTCCCCAAACATTTTAAATAAACGCCTGTGAAAGATCGTTTGTATAGCTCTCCCCCCACCACGGTATACCTGATAGCCTTGTAACAGAGAGCCTTGGCTGTAGCCGCGTCTTCGAGAACCTCACTCCGCTCCAAAAACTGAGTAACCCGCTTCGCCAATCACGCTCCTCAATTCCCACTACATCGTCCAGCTGAACCACCTCTATCATAACTGTGACTTGTCGTTCCCCTTCGAAATCCATGGCGGTGGCGAGTTTCGACAATGCATCAGCGTGTCCGTTAATCTCCCGCCTGACGTTTTCTAACGTCTATTCTTCCATATGTGCTAGCGGTCCTTGCCTTTCCAGCGAACTTCATAAACTCTTCCTCCTTTGTTTCAAAATTTCCGTTGATTTGCCCCACTACCAATGAAGAATCAGAGTAGATTTTTACTTTCCTCGCGCCCATGCTTGCGATGAGCCTTAAACCATTTATCAAAGCCTCGTACTCGGCAACATTGTTGGTTTTTAGTGCATCAAAACGCATGGCGATTTCATGGATGACTCCTTCGGGGGTTTCTATGACGATTCCCGCTCTCGCTCCTCCTTTGCCCGCTGCCCTGTCTACTGACAGCTTCCACGCATCTTCCTTGTCAGACAACCCCCTATCCAAAGCGAAGCCTTCAACAATGAAATCCTCCAAGACTTGAGCTTTCACGACCGGCCTGGAGGCGTAAGAGATGTCATGATCGCTAAGTTCCACTGCGCATTTGGTCATTCTTCCGGAGACGTCCATTCCCTGCAGTATCTTCCTTAGCGGCAGATTAAATGGGACAATGATGGGATGCCCCTGGAAATAAGGTCGTAGGTTCCGAGCCATCATGGAGACCGCAAGAACCGCCTTCTCTACCACCAAGTACCTTGTCTCCATAGGGAGTAACACCTTGTTGACGTAGTATACAGGCTGGTCTTTTTCGTCGTCATCTGATCTTCTTACCAATACGGAACTTATCGCCTGATGTGAGACTGCTAAGTATAGGAATAGACGCTCACCACCGACTGGGGCGCTGATAACCGGAGGCGTTGAAAGTTGCTCTTTGAGGCGTAGCAAAGCCTCGTTGCATTCTTCCCTCCATCTGAAACGAGTTGCCGACTTCTTCAGCAACTGAAAAAATGGAGAGCACTTATCTGCAAAGCGGGGTATGAACCTCTTAGGGCCGCCATCTTCCCATTGAAGGCTTGGATCTCCTTAATCGTTTCAGGGGCCTTGAGCTGCAAAATTGCCTCAATCTGATTTGAGTTAGCTTCAATCCCGCACTTTGTGATTAAAAACCCTAAGAACTTTTCCGCCTCTACTTCAAAGACGCACTTTGATGGATTTAGGCGCAACCCATGTTCTCTCATGTTGGTGAACGTTTACCGCAAATCTTGCAAATGTGTTCCCACTACTTCCCTGCTTTTCACCAAAACGTCATCGACGTAAGCCTCCACGTTTCTTCCTAGCTGGCCGCGGAGCATGGCGTCCACCATTATTTAGTATGTCTCCCCCGCACTCTTTAGGCCGAAGGGCATGACCATCCAGCAGTAGCTTCCCGTGGCGGTCATGAA